CCCGCACTGTGACGTTAGCTCACGTGGCAGGCGGGGCCCGGTGTTAACCCCGTCGGCGCCGCCGCGCGCCCGCCTGGTCCCGGGCTAACCCCGGCGACCCAGGAAAGAGCCGTGGGCGCGGACTTTGCCTCAGTTTCTCTGCTCCCGGGGCCAGCAGCCAAGTGTCCCAGGACAGGGGCAGGGACACCGGGGAGCCGGAGCCCCCGGCAGGGGCGCAGCAGCCTGCACAGCTCACCTTGGAGAGCAGGGGCGCGTGTACCCCGGGGAGAAAAGCCTTACGGCTGCCCCAGCTGTGGGAAGAACTTCACCTGCAAGTCCCGCCTCCGTGCCCACCAGCGCGCGCAGGCTCGGGAGAAGCCGCTGCGCTGCCTGCAGGGAGAGCTCCAGATCCGGCGCAGCACTCACCAAGCAATAGCAAACCCGCAGACCAGACCCTTGCCATTGACACACGACTATTTCAGCCCACTTCCATCTCGCCTTCCTTTCCTGCAGCCTGTGCCCTGTTGTGGGGTTTGGGAGTAGATCCGGCCCCTGGTCTGAAGTGCTCCCACCTCCCCATGGACCACGTGCTGATTTTGCGTGGCCCTGAGAGTGGAAAGGGAGGGAGTTGCAAGTCCCCAGGGCATCTCTCCGCAGGGGAACAACCCTCATTCTGTTCCCTTGGCTGTCAACACCTGCCCCGTGTGCTCCAAGCCCAGGGTGAGTTGTGAAGGGAGCAGCTTGCTGGGGCTTTCCTTTCAGTGCCTGGGAGAGGAGAGGATTTTGGTCTGCTTGCTTCTTCCCTGAGCTTTGCTTTGGAGAATTAACCAAGGAGCCCCAAAGGACGTAAATTCTCCCGCAGAAGCCAGCAGGGCAAGAGACCTGCTTTACAGCACATGGAGCCCCTGAGCCGGTGGGAGCTGGTCTGTCCCATCCTGCCTGCGGCGGAGCTCAGTGCAGAGCAGGAGGAATGAGAGCCCAGTTGCTTGGCGGGGAGCAAGTGGGTTATTGCTGTGAGCTAGAAACCAGCTGGTGCCTGACTTCTATCCCAGCCCGGGGTCTGTTGGGTTCGGGAAAGGGGCCCCTGGAGAAGGATGCCTGGGTTCTCTCTTGGTTCTGGGAGGAGGCTGAGGCCTGGCGGGTGAGAGCAGGAGAAGGGCGTGGGAGCCTGGATGCCTGCATTCTTTCTCAGCCTTTCTCAGGTGAACGGCATCTGGTGAGGCAGGTGCTTCATTTCTCACCTGGGGGAGGGAGAGTGCAAGGGCATTTCCCCCACACCAAGGGCAGTCCAGCCCTGGGCATGCACGGGATGCTCTCCACTGTGTCCCAGAGCACAAGCTGCAGGGGCTGTTGGGAATACCCTGGCCCCTTCCCCACAGCACCTGGGACAGCACCGGTTAAGTGGGCTGGCTTGGAGCCTGCAGCTCTTGTGGGGGGCTCAGTGCAAGCTGGCTTTGCTGTTATTTTTACTGTAAATAGGATGCCCTTATGTCTTGTTGACTTCAGGTGCAGTCGGCAATCTGGGTGTGATGGCGGGCCGCAGAGGCAGCTCCCTGGCTGGTTCCCTGTGACGTGTTTTGTTTCACGGGGCGACTGCTTGTCCCTGTGTCGAACTCTTAACGGCTGTGCTGAGAGTGCAGCTGGCGGGGCTTGGAAGAGAACAGGTGAGGCCCTGGGAGCACCAGGGAGAGACGGGGCAGTTGTGCATGCATATGTGCATATATGTGTGTGAACATGTCCTGGATGCCTGATTCTGTGTGTATGTGTATCACCTGCTTGGATTGTGTGTGTGTGTGTGTGTGTGTCCTGGATGCCTGGGTCCCATGTGTGTATGACCCAGATACCTGGGGATACAGATACATGGAGGTGTGTGCACATGTGTATGCATGTGTGCGCATGTGTCCCAGACATTCAGAGGTGTGTGCGCGTATGTTCAGGACACCTACATCTGTGTGTGTGTATGTACACATATGTGCGTGTGTGTGCATGTGTTCCAGACGTTTGGGGGGTGGGTAGTGTTTATGTGCAGGACACCTGCATGTGTGTGCATGTCCTGGACTCCAGGATTCCAGGTGTGTGTGTGTGTGTGTGTGTGTGTGTATGTCCTAGATGCCTGGGGATACATATACATGGGGATGTGTGTGTATGTGTATGCATGTGTACACATGTCCCAGACACTTGTGGGGGTGTGTGCTTATGTGTGTGTGCAGGACACCTACATCTGTGTGTGTGTGCATGTGTCCCAGATATTGGGTGCAGGACACCTGTGTGTGTTTGTGTATGTGTGCAGGTCGTGTGCGTGTGTGCAAGACATTGGTGTGTATGTGTGTATGTGTGCAGGATGTGTGTGTAACACCTGTGTGCACCCATGTTTCCATGCCTCCGTGTGTAAGCATCCTCAGCTGCCAGTCTCTGGGCGTGACTTCAGCGCCCTGCGAACCCTCAGGGAGGCTCTGCAGAGCGAGGAAGCTTAGAGCATCTGCCCCAGCCGCATTTCACCCAGCTATCTCATTCAGCTCCCTTTTAATCACAATCGTAATATGAGGAGACCATGGGGGTGAGGCAAATCAAGCTGTTGATTACAAAGAAGGAAACAGTTGCTCATCCAAAAGCAAAGTAGAAGCACCAGCGGCAGCCCAGAGAGTGAGTGTCTCAGGCACACTTGGGCTCTGTCTCTCCCTCCTCCTCGTAGACCAGCAAGCTCATCTCCAGTGAGAGTAGCAGGAAGTCACTGTGCCTGTTATGCTGTTTCAGCATTACTAGAAGATACTTCCTTCTAATAGGGTATTGGGACAGACCTCATTCGTAGCCCAGGAAATGGGCATATTTTAGTTGACAGCACACAGCTGTCTGTGCCCCAACCCCATGTGCAAGACACCAAGCCACAAAGTAAGCTCATGCTTCACTGGCTGCCTCCTATGACCTAGGGGCTTCTGCTTCAGCAGCTCTGTAACCGATCACCCTCCTTCCTCTTTTCCTTCCTCAACTCGAAGTAGATAGGACATGGGTCTAACATTCCACTATGAAGCAGCCTAAGCCTACTATGATCTACAGCCAGCCCTGGGGCCTCCCCGGCTCCACTGCCCCATCGCACGCACAGCCAGCTGTCCATGCTGCTTGACTGCGCTAGCCCACTCCATCCACCCATCACTGTGGGCAGGACCCCAGGCCTCTGCAGCCTTGCCATACTTCATGGTGGCTGTGGATGGGATAGTGGCAATGCCACAGGCATTCACTCCACGGTAGATGTGGAAATAGCCCTGGGGGTTTAATGGAGAGATGCAGTCAGGGGCTAGGCAGATAACCCTCACCTCTCCCACTCCCTGCTGCGCGCACATATGTTGGGAGGATGAGCCTTCTGATGTGCTCTATCCCAGTCTGCACTGAGCAGAGGTACAACCAGCCTACAACGCATCCCAGCCATAATCTGCACCGAGCAAGGGGGACCTTTATAATCAGCCCCCAGTACACGCCGTTCCACCTAGATGCAACCTGCAGTGAGCTACAGGCCCTGTATAACCAGCTCCCTACACTCCCATCCCAGACCCACTCCCAATCTGCACAGAGCAAAGGGGGGCCTTTATGATGAGCCCCCAGTGCACCCCACCCCAGAGCTAGCTGCATCCTAGTGCACAATCCTGCCAGCCAGTGCCCCCCTCTCACCTGCTCTCTCCACGCTGGCCCCCATGAGTTCTCGACGATCCAGAACAGTGTCTTCTTCTCTGGAGTGAAGAAGGACGGCAGCAAGGCAGGGTTGGTCAGAGCCATCCTAGCACCAGAGCTCTTGGCACCCTCCAACCTGCTTGTCCTGCACCTCTTCACCCCAGGGCTCCTCTCCATCACCTTCCCCATCCACCAGCCCCAAGGTTTATGATTTTACTTTATTACAGTGCTTCAATCCACCTAATAAACCAGAATTTTTAAGGATCCCGAGTTGGGCATTTGTAGCCAACACAGGGAGTCTATTCCAAGTGCTTTACCACCCTCCTAGTGAGAAAGGGGAGCAGGGCTGAGGTCTCTGTGGGGAGTGAAGGGGCACAGGAAACCACAAGGAAACATCAAGAGTCAACGCTGGGTTGAAGCTGCTCAGTCAGGAGAGACAAGCTGGGGGAACTGCTTAGGGGGGAGCAGGGGGAGAATTGGGGGCCACCAAGGGCTGCCCTGGGCATCAAAGCTACCCTTAGGGAAGTCCATGGTTTCCCCATCCCAGCCCCACCCCCCCACCCCTGATTCTTGGCAGGGTGGCAGCCCCAGCCTTCCTCCAGTCACAGCTGTCGTGAATCAGCCGCCTGACTCACACCGGAGTGTTTAGATTTAGAGTTCGGCAGGCGGGTAGTGATGGATGGGGTGGAATTAACCAGGCACAGACGCGTGTAGGTTACAGGAGTTTGTTTACTTACGTCGCCTAGATAGTGATGGACGACGCAGGTGAGCCTTCGTTCCGTTACAGCTTTAGTTACAGAGTCAAATATGCGCATATAACTTCGGTTACAGAGTCGAGGACATGCACGCAGTTCAGTTACGGCGAGATAATGACGGACGTGGCGCCGAAAACGGACGGTCGCGCTTGCAAGACTTTTTACGTCAATATTTTACG